TTTTGTTGACTTTATCAAGAGATTAATGGTGAACAAGTTCAAAGGGGAAATGACGCAAGTACTAAAATCTTCAACTCGAGAGAACGTTATCGATAAAGTTGAATTAAAACAATATGTACTCGTAAATTATCGAGAACTCACAAAATGATTCTCCTAACATAAATTTTATAGAATGTGGTTTCTTAAGCTTGTTTCACGAAAGGAAATCTTCTCGTATCACTGAACTTTTCATTTAACGTGTAACGAAATATTGTTGAATCTGTCAGGAGATTAATGGTGAACATTTTCTTTGAAAAGTTCCAAAGAAAAATGGCACAAAGATCGTTTACTCGAGAGAACGTTATCGATAAAGTTAAATTTCAGTAGATTGAAACAAATCACGTTAAAATTATTATAAACTCGTATTATTCCACTGAATTTTCACACTATACAATGAATAAAATTTTTAAATTTATCAGCAGATTAATGCAGAACATGTAAAGAATTCAAAAGGGAAACGGTGCGAGGAATAATTGTGAAACTCGGGAGAGAACGTTATCGATGAAGTTAAATTTTAACAATAAATTGGAACAAATTGTTACGCGTGGAAAGATTTGACAGTATAAAACTTGCTAAACTTATTTTCATGTCGCATCATTTTCTCACAGCGTGTAATAAAATTTTAGAAGAAAATTTTGAAAGGAGATTAATGGTCGCTCGCATTGTTATTTCCAACAGAGAGTATTTACAAGGTGCCGGGCGACGATACCCACTTTTACGGTACTTTCACCACGTCGACGAACGGATTGATGGGCTCGGCGATTTGCTCGTTCCATATCGACGCGATTCAAGAGGCGTTCCGTGGAAAATTCAAAGAACAGGCGACGAGCAGCAGCGCCTGGCTTCCGGTGCTCTCCAACAAAGTTCCTGAACCGCGACCGGGTCAATGTGTGAACGACACTGAAACGTTCCCGGACACGGTGCTGAACTTCATTCGATCTCATCCCCTGATGGACTCGGCCATATCGCACGAGAATGAAAAACCCGTCTTTTATAAACGCGACGTGATGCTCACGCGGTTGGTCGTGGATAAACTACGAATCGATTTCGTCGGCAACGATTTGGATTACACGGTCTACTATGCAGGCTCCAGTGAGTATTAATTTCATGCTTAAAAGCATCAATCGATTTTCTTCGGCACCCTGCGATCATAAACTTTATTTCAAACGACTAATTTGAATTTCTAATAAAACTGAAACTAGCGTCGTTAGTGAATAGTTTTCTCACTGTGTTGGTAGAGATGCAGAATAATGTTGTTCCTCGTACATCGGCTACTTCATTTTGCAAAATTAAGCTGAATTTCTGATGGTCGGTGGCGAGCTGTTTTTCCAGTTGTGGCATTTTATTTACAACAGAGACACGCTTTAACTTTGCAATTTACATTTTTCACCGCGTGTGTCAGGATTAAACGTCGTGCCGCGGAATTGCGATAAGAAATTTAATTCAGGACTGATTCGTAGCGCGGGTTTGGCGCGCGTTTTGCGCCGGCCGATTTGTCGTCGAGAAACTTGGCAAGATAATCACGGGCGGAACTTCAAACTTCTTGCAGAGTTGACTCGTACAATCTGCTATTGCAATCGCTGCTCGTCTCGCAGCCGACTGTCGAGTGTCTATTACCGCTAAAAACTAATATAATCGCGAGTCCTCGCGTACATCTGCAGACTGTATGTGTGCAAGAAACAAGTTGCAAAAACAGGCCGTAACTCCGCGATATTAATTACAGTTTGCTGGTTCCGATATCAGACACGAATTGCACAGACGAAGCAAATCATTCTCTATACGTACACGAACCACTTACTAGAAACTACAACGGATCAGTTCCCACGAAATTGAAAAATAGAGAGAAACTGTGTCACGTTAGTTTTCAATTTTTTTTTTTTTTTTTTTTTTTACGAAGAACGGACTTTAAGCAAAAATTATCTATTTAAAGAATGTCCGTGTTTTCTGTATTAGCTTCACTTTAGCCTTTGAAATCTTTAGAAAAAAGAGTTCTTCTCAGCACGATCATCGTTCGAAAAAAAAAGGCAGTACTTTGGTCGAAAGTACTTTAGATAAGAATACTTTGAAATTACGTCGGAATATTTAACACGTTCCTTTAACGTGCGAAGATTGGATTTTAATGAAATTTTAGAATAAGACGAGGAAACTTCATTACGAACAAATAACGATTACATCCAAATCTTTACGCTTTGATCTTCTTTGAAATTCACCCGGCTCGAATAACGAGTCTTTAATGAAATCAATTGGAAAACGTATTTCTCTGCTTTTTGAAAGCATTACCTTTGATGTTTATTATTGTTACCGATGGCAACACGAAGCAGTTAATTATAGAAAAGTAATACGTTTTCTGCATTTTAATCTTTCTCTTGCATTTCACTCGATGAAATTGAGTTTCTGTCGACTGTCGTAAGTTATCGATGATTTCGTGCGTCACGATAACGTAAAAATCCTCCTCCAATCGAGGTAAAGTTCAATCACGAGGAATCAATGTTGCAATTGAACGATGTTTGATAAACCATGTGGCTCCAGAAATCATATATTGATTAAATTGATGTAAGGATTATTTTCAGGGATCATACTGATTAACTTTATAAATTGAAAATGATATAAGGATTATATTCAGAAAGCGTATTGATTAACTTTATAAATTGAAATTGATATAAGGATTATAAGAATTTATTTACAGTGATTCTTTTCATTGTGATAATATATTCAGATAATAAATGTCATAATTTTGTAAAGAAAAAAAATCGTACAACAATAGATTTTACTCATTCTAAAGTTTCGAAGCCTGCACTTTCAAAATGCATCGTTTCACTTTGTTCGGAAATGTGTTCTACAATGGAAAAGCTTCAATCCTCTCAAATCCACTGCGGATTTCAGTCATGGAAACAATTTTTCAACGTGTTAACATACTGTGACGATTTATAGCATTTCCGAGAAGAAAGGTATCTTCACTTTGCCATCTGTTACGTAATGTAAAAACATCTTGGAATGAAGCTAATAACAGCTATTTATTATCATATGTTTTATAATAGTTTCGATATTTAATGTTCGTAATATTAATTGTACATCATTTTCTTCAAGACGAATTGAATATATCTGTCGTTTCAATATCTCAAGAACCGAGGATTAATCGTGTGAATTTGTATGACGAAACTAGAAAAAAACTAATAAAATTGTCAAGCCGATCAGGAAGTCGTCTCATCGATCTCAAGTCGGTTGGCAAATCAACTTTGTTGTTTCTGCCGCGTGTTACAGGCGATGGACGTGTACACAAAGTTGTCCAGTGGATAGACAGTAACGGCGAGTCGCAGTCTATCCTGTTGGACGTTTTTGACGTGACGCCAGGCGAGCCAATTCAAGCGATGGAGATCTCGAAGGAGCACAAGGCCCTTTACGTTGCCTCCGACCATCGAATAAAGCAGATCGACCTGGTGATGTGCACCCGTCGATACGACAATTGTCTCCGCTGCGTGCACGATCCTTACTGCGGCTGGGACAAGGACACCAACACGTGCAAACCGTACGAACCTGGGTGAGTGTATCGCTTGTGTCGTTACCCGAGGTTCCAAAAGTGGAATTGCTTCCGCCGCGATTCGATCTAACGATGCATCGCGACAGTACGTGATTACGGCGGAAGAATTCGATTTTGAAGGGTCAATAAAAATTTACTGTAACGCTGAAACGGAATCGGAGTACCGGTTTGATACTTTTGTTTTGGATCATTCTAGAATAACGTATTATGGCGTAATAACGTACCGCTACAGTCGCGTAATAACAGTGTTATTAATTAATTAAGGCGTAATAACGCCTAACCTAACCTAAACCTAACCTAAACCTAACCTAACCTAATCTAAACCTAACCTAAACCTAACCTAAACCTAAACCTAACCTAAACCTATATTAATATATTAATATATTTTTTTTTTTTGAGTAATACTACGTTTATTAGATAATTTTCCATTTGTACTTTCTTTCTTAAATATCGAGAGGTACCTCGAGTGTTTGGACAAAATATGAAAGAACTATAGAAATAAGAGCTTTTCGAATCACCAGTGCAGCTAACATCACCAATTGTCAGCTATGTTCATAAAAAATATCGTAAAATATTAAGAGCTTATGGCTGAAATTAAATATTGATCCTTCCAGCGTATGACGTTTTTTTAACGGGGCGATCTCGTTTCTATGTGAAAAATGCATGAAATAAAAGACGCTCGTCCTTTCACGAGGGAACTAGGTTACGTAATATCGCTATTTTATAAATTCTGATAGTTCTGTTTGACGAATTTATCAGCGCGAAAATTTCTGCTCCTTTTTATCCGAAATTAGTCGCAGCGCAGATAAATAGATAATACGCGAACGGGGCAAAAAAAATGCAATTTAGTTAAATACTTACGTAAATATTATCGCGTTTTTAATATTTCGAATTTCAATTTCACGATGAAATTCAATGCACCCGGAATGACCCAGTAAGGTTGGTCCAGTTTAATAAATTCGACCAACTCGTACATTCGTTCTTCCGTTTCCCTTTTCTGAAATTTTCATAACCCGCTTAAATTCTGTTGGCCATAGGTTCGTTGGCCATTTTATCCAATTTATTATATATTCAAAGGTGCATTAATTTCGTATAACGTGCAACGCAAACTTTTGTTTTATCTTTTCATTCATGATGGACGATATTCACTTAATTAATAGGAAATTAATTTTTTTTCTTTTTTTTTTACCGCTAACACGCACGGAATTTGCTGAATGCTTCAAAATCTACGAAAGCTGCTCAGAAATTAAAATGGAAGATACAGTTTCTTTTTTTCTTAGTATATCGCATGTTACAAATTTTTATCCGTGAAGTTTCGAGAAATCGATCCACGAAATTTCTACCGTTCTTCAATCGTCCTAGTATCAATTTTTAGAAAATTGGAACTTCAAATCGATCCTCGAATTTTTATATTTCAATCTTCCACTCTCGGTTTAGCAAACAAAATTTACCGGCTAGGGTTTACTGATATTAAAAAAAAAATAAATTTACTAATTTTTAATAGACGTTCAACGTGAAACTTAATCGAAGAATAATTAACGAGTGCTAATAAAAAAAACTTATTCGCATTTCCATTTAAACTTGAGACATTGTTTCCAATTTTAGTGAAAATGACAGAACGCGGTGAGACTCGAATTTAATACAAGATCGACGTTCAATATTCGCGATCGAGGAATATCGATAACAAGGTGAGGAAAGTATCGTGCTCATGATGGCCAACTTTCGTTCGTTCTCACAGGCTTCTCCAAGATGTGTCAAACAGCACGGCAGACGTTTGCGACAGTAGCGTGGGTAAACGGAAGCTGGTAGTCACCTGGGGCCAGTCGGTGCATCTCGGTTGCTTCGTGAAGATGCCGGAAGTGCTGGCGAATCAGGAAGTCAGGTGGTACCACTACAGCAAGGAGAAAGGCAGGTATCAGATAGCCTACAAGTACGGCGCCGGGGGGGACAAGTTCATCGAGACGTCCGAGAAGGGTCTGGTGATCGTTGGCGTGAACGAGCAAGATGCCGGAAGATACGATTGTTGGCTCGGTGGTTCGCTCCTTTGCTCGTACAACATCACTGTGGACGCGCACAGATGCTCCGCGCCAGCCAAGTCGAACGACTATCAGAAGATATACTCGGATTGGTGTCACGAGTTCGAGAAATACAAGTCGGCGATGAAGAGTTGGGAAAGGAAGCAAGCGGTAAGTCGTGCGAATATTCTTTCTTTCACGAGATGCAAATGAAAGCATCTTTCTTCCTTTTCCTTTTCTCTCTAATCTTTCGTTATTCTTCGAGGCAAGAATTCTTTCATTTTTATTCATGGTCTCGCTTCAGGATCCTTTGCAGATTCATTGCGCAAGAAGTACTTGAATTTAGATTTAGACCAGATTTCTTAGTACGCAAAATTTCCACGCTTTTTATTGATCTTGTTGTTCACAAATTTAACTATAAGAATTGTAATTAAATATATTATAGTTATAAGAACAAGGTCGAACAATTGAAAGCAAGTAAATGCTAGAACGATATGCTGATACGATATGCAACTTAACACTTCTCACGTATCGATTTGAAATATTATTGATGTTTAAAAAAAAATCACCGTACAATAAGCAATCCAGTTCAAGTAATAACGTTTCGCGTATCATTAATTTTCGATTAATTAATTTATAATATTAATTTCAAAACAATAAGATCCAAGCAATAACGGTTTGTGTATTATTAGTTTTCATCCAGCTTGAGGGAAATTGAACACACGATCTCTCATTCGCCTGCTTGAGGATCCGGACGATTATGTCTGTTACAGCAATGCGCATCGAGGCAAAACGACAGCAATCAAAATTTACACACAAACGAGGTATACGGCACCCCCTTGGTCTGATGGAGCCGATTGTTGGAGCCCTCGTCTAGCCGAGATCCCGACATACTGCCACGCGCCAGCGTCCTGCCGAAGAATTGCGGTCCATCCACGATCAGTTGGACGAGCCTCACTCTCCTTCTGACCGGTTACACCACTGCCTTTGTCCTTCTTGCTGTCGACGACGATCTTTCGTCCAAGTGAATGCCACAGAATACGCGTCCGTATCGGGAAAAAGAAAACGAGAAAGAAAGAAAACCGGCAAATCGAACGTCCGAAACGCGAGCATCGTTTCTCACCGCGTCGCGGCGACATCCATCCTCGATCGATTGATTGGACGAGCCTCGTCCCGATTGGTCTCATCTTCCGCCCGGAACGTTTCTTTCGACGAATAACTATCAAGCAAATACTAAGCTAAGGAAACAAAGAGAGATACTTGTAAGAAATAGTGCTATTCATAGATTCGACAGAGAGAGAGAGAGAGAGAGAGAGAAAGAGAAAGAGAGATTATTCGCATTCCGATCGGTGCGACGAGGTTGCTATTCTGGCACCACGTGCCGTGTGTTCATATCGCGTCCGTCACTCGTCGTTTCATCGTGTCTCTATACTGCCACAATGCCACAGTCGAGAAAATTCGATTCGGTTTCATTTTCGACGGTGATAATTCTCGCCAGTGAACGTTCCTCGTTGGCCACGCGACGCGGTCGAGAAGAACTCGCGAGAGGAACTCAAGGATCTAAGTCTTGAGAGTAAGTGCGCCTTAAACGGGTGCGAACGACGATGGGAACGACGGATGACGGGTCAGAAGGGCAATCGTAGTACACGCGAACTGTGCTCGCTGACACACACACACACACACACACACACAC